ATGACAGTAAATTGAAATTCAACCTCACGTTCCTCATCGCGGTGCTGAAGCTGAAGTGTGAATGCAAGTAGCACTGCGGGACTTGATGCCGTTGCTGCAATTCAGTGAAAACTTGCAGAGGGTTTCCTGCAGTTACTTTTGTACGTCACAATAAAGTATTTATTGAGGTCCTTTTTTTGGAAATGCCTTTTCATGGCTGCACACTTTTCATGCTCGCTACCCAGCCCGCTCGCTCGCCCGCCCGCCCGATCGCCCGCCCGCCTTTTATTGTGCGGAGTTTGTATCAGTTGCACAAAAAAGGTATTAAAATCTATTATATCATACGATGTGTGCCAATAACTACTTGACAGGGAAATTCACAAACATCATATACCAATTATGAAATACTTGTGATGTATTTTCTGGCAAGAGCTACAACCATTGAGCAGTGCCGGTGGCACTTAGCTCACCTGGCAGCATTGGCATGGATTTGGAAATTCCACGCTCCAGTGACGGGAGCCTGACTGGCCTTACCAACGACCACTTTCGCCCTTTGATACAAGCGAGTACTTATGTTAGTCAGCGATAGTCATAGCGACACTCACTTTATTAAGCCTGGTAGGATGGAGGCTGGGTTTATGCCTGTCTGGGATTTGAACCCGTGACCTTCCGACTATGAGCCTCACAATGCGAGCCAGTCTCAGCAAAATAAAAATATTGTATAAGTAGCTTCATGGAAAATCCCGATATGTAAAATTCCCTAGCCAAAAAACTCAGGTTGGCGAATACGTTTGTAAGATTATTCCTCAGCCTTTACTGAATTAGAAAGTTTACATCTTCATTCACGAGTTATATGTAGCCAGGTGAGGGGCATAAACCGGCAGTCACGAGTGACTTTTAATAATCATCATCAGCCACGGTCAATCTAGCGATACTCTACTGTTAGATGAAGGCATCCCCAATCCGCCACCACCTCTCACGAGCACAGGATAGTATAATCCACCCAAGCACCAGCACGCGAGCTGATTTTAATGCTCCATCTCCTCAGTGGACGTCTCTCTGCATGTACCGTGACCGTATTTCTACAAATATAATAAACCTCCATGACGCGCAGTTTTCCATTTTGGAATAATGTGCGAGTATCAGCTTAAATTAAAAGTGATCAATATATACCATATTTATACTGGAGTTGAATCAAACAAGATCAATATTTCACTTGATGAAAGGAACAGGAGGTCACAATGTCTGTCGACTGGTCTTTCTGAGGGGGACTAATGTCTGGAGATGGGAAGTGTCATATTCAACTTAGTGACATTCACTTTCCTGTCAGATCCCTGATGTCGTAGCAATTTAATTACTCCGTATATCAACCTCCATGCGACAATTTACAGATAACAACATCCTTCTCATGCTGTGGGCTGCAGAGGTCAATGCTGCCAAATGTGTTATACTGCACTATACCCCCACGTCTATGCCGTCTGCTCTTCACCAACGCACAACGACCGGTGTGGTAAAGTACGGTTAAACTACCCCCACCAACCCACGCGGTGTGGGTAAAACTTCATCCAGCAACGGATAAACAAAACGTGCTGCAACATGCACACACGTGTACAATACCTCTCTCCGGGGGGAAACTCCGTGCGCCGTTTTCCAGCTGCGGTAACGGGGCGAAGAGCGCGCCTCACAACATGCCACTCGCACGCCTCACAACATGTCACTCGCACGCCTCACAACGTGACGCTCGCACGTCTCGTCATCTCATCCTCGCACTCGACCGGCGTCGCACGCAACCCCTCCGCCGCCCGCGTGTGCCCAGGCACTGTGCCAGTCCAGAGCCAAAATTGCGCATGAGGATGTGAGCACGAGCCGTCTTGTCCATCTCGCCCTCCCCCTTTCCCTGCGTTACTTTGCAAAAATGACGCGGATGGCTCCGTGTCAGTAAGAGACGGCGCGCGCGCACGCGCAACCCAGGCACGCTCCACACCTGCCACACCTGCACGCATTGAAGCCCCGATGGAGCACATTGATCATGATTACCGTCACTACGAACATTAACGAGACGTTTATTTAGTGAGACTGACAGCATGTGCAACCAAGCTCGCCAAACCGTACCATTATCACCTCTCGCCCCCTTCTAATACAATTAGTGCTGTGTCAACAGAACTAACACAACCGCACCCCTTCCTCTCGGCTGTGCTTAAAGACTCTCGCTTTGTATTTCCCACTGGTCACATAACTTTTAATTTATTAATGAAGGCAATGCAAGAAACGTATAATAAATGACCACCACCATCATCATTTCTCGATCCACTGCTGGATGAAGGCCTCCCCATGCCGTGTCACTCAGGGGGGTTTGTTTGACCATATCTCAACACGCTGGTAAGGGCGGCTTGGTGGTGGTGGTGGAGGGGGTTGTGCAGACACGACTCGCTACTAATGTCAGCCGTGGCCAGGAATCGAACACAGGTTGGCAGGTTCATAGCGCAATGCCATAACCAGCGCACCACTGCTCCACTCCAGGTGATAAATAACGGAATATGAACGTAAAAAATAAGCAAACCAATACTACAAAAGACAGATAAGGTTATACCCGTGACTAGTTTTACTATTTGTTTTTATTTTACCAGATATGGCCCACTGAGCTATACAGTATGGCTCGTTTCCAGAAGCGAACTGGCCACAAATGAAAGCTCAATTAAGTGGCTTATCGCGTGGAAAAGCATTGCCGGCAAATACTCTAAACGCGCGTTTCTAGATGCGGAGGGGAAACCCGGAGGGGGCCAGGAGAAAAATCCAAGCGACCACGTGGGAGAGAAACACGCAAACTAAAAATATACAGGCGGTCAGGGTCGGGATCGAACCCATGACATCCTGCAAACCAGGCGAGAGAGTTCACATCTCGCCACGCTGGCACGGGGGATCAGAGACCGAGAGATGTTTTAGGCGTTGAGATTTAAGAGGTGGTGGTGGGGGAACAGGAAGGAGTTCTCCATAAAGCGACATCTGCCCATGTGCCGCAACGCGTTAGACTCGTACAATTATGTAATGCGTATCCTGTACAATGTTGATTTGATCTACTAGCGGTAATAAAATATTCACAACTGCTTGACTGGGTCGGATGGCGAATGCGTGCGCACTGCCAAGCGCAAAGCATTCAGCTCAATCGTCAAACAGCGGCCAGGTAGCACGGTAGGTACGCCTGCTCACACACTGCAGGTAGCACGGGTACACCTGTTCACACTGCAGCTAGCACGGTACGCCTGTTCACACCCTGCAGGTAGCACGGTAGGTACGCCTGTTTACACACTGCAGGTAGCACGGTAGGTACGCCTGTTTACACACTGCAGGTAGCTAGCGTACACCTGTTTACACACTGCAGCTAGCACGGTTCGCCTGTTTACACACTGCAGGTAGCTAGAGTACACCTGTTTACACTCTGCAGCTAGCACGGTTCGCCTGTTTACACACTGCAGGTAGCACGCGTACGCCTGTTTACACTCTGCCGCTAGCACGGTTCGCCTGTTTACACACTGCAGGTAGCACGGTACGCCTGTTCACACTCTGCAGGTAGCACGGGTACGCCTGTTCACACTCTGCAGGTAGCACGGGTACGACGGTTCACACACTGCAGATAGCACGGTTCGCCTGTTCACACACTGCAGGTAGCACGGTACGCCTGTTCACACTCTGCAGGTAGCACGGTACGCCTGTTCATACACTGCAGGTAGCACGGTTCGCCTGTTCACACACTGCAGGTAGCACGGTACGCCTGTTCACACTCTGCAGGTAGCACGGGTACGTCTGTTCACACTCTGCAGGTAGCACGGTACGTCTAATCACAAGCTGTAGGTAGCACGGTTCGCCTGTTCACACACTGCAGGTAGCACGGTTCGCCTGTTCACACTCTGCAGGTAGCACGGTTCGCCTGTTCACACTCTGCAGGTAGCACGGGTACGCCTGTTCACACAGACTGCAGGTAGCACGGGTACGCCTGTTCACACACACTGCAGGTAGCACGGTACACCTGTTTACACTCTGCAGGTAGCACGGGTACGCCTGTTCACACACTGCAGGTAGCACGGTACGCCTGTTCACAAGCTGTAGGTAGCACGGTTCGCCTGTTCACACACTGCAGGTAGCACGGTTCGCCTGTTCACACTTTGCAGGTAGCACGGTTCGCCTGTTCACACTCTACAGGTAGCACGGTACGCCTGTTTACACTATGCAGGTAGCACGGGTACGCCTGTTCACACACACTGCAGGTAGCACGGTACGTCTAATCACAAGCTGTAGGTAGCACGGTTCGCCTGTTCACACACACTGCAGGTAGCACGGTACGCCTGTTCACAAGCTGTAGGTAGCGCGTACGGTACGCGCCGATTCACAAGCTGCATATCGGGCCAGGGACTTCACTGCGGGCAGTGACCGGTTGGTTCAGTCACCTGACGCGGTGGCCGTGTACACGTTGGGTGCACTTTAAAGCAGTACAGGCGAAGAGAGGATCACCATTCAGCTCCAAATCCAGCCCCCCCCCCTCTTCACAACAGGCAGCGCCTCCTGCTCACCACGACTCAGGTCCTGCTGCCCCCTTCTTAACCCACCCACCTCCTCACTCTCCTCCGACTCCTCTGTCCCACCGACTCGGCCCCACTCAAGCCGACTCCTCGTCGCGGGCTGTCAACAAGGAACTCCACACCCCGCGGGAGGAGCGCCAGCAGCCCCGGCGGTGACCGCAAACGCGGGGCCCCCCTCCCACTTCCCGGCGCGGCGCGCACGTGGACGGCGGGGCCGGCGCAGTCGAGTCGGGTGGTGGTGGTGGTGGGGCACAAGGAGAGCGCGGCGCATGGGGACAAGGGGCAAGCAGCAGCCGGGCGGGGGCAAGGGGCAGCAGCAGTAGGCACGGGGAGACACGGAGAGACACGGGGGCAGCGGCGGCAGCGCCACCCGGGGCCGGCAGAGGGGCGACCGAGCCCGGGCACGGCGGGTGGCGCGTGGAGGAGGCGAGTGACGGTGACACCCACCATTCTCTTCACGGGGACGAGCGTCTCGCCGAGCGCGCTTGCCCTCTAGCCATGGACCTGCAGCCTGCGCAGCTTCCAGCCGAAGAAGATCCTGTTCCTGAGGAGGACAGCGAGGGCCAGGGCGGACGGGAGCTCGGTCATGCTGCTCGGGGCCGCCCGCTCTGCGCCGCTCCCGCGAACCGCCCGCCCGCTCGAGCTCGCAGCCCCGCCCACACCGCGCTGACGTCACCGCGCTCGCCGCCCCGCCCACACCGCGCTGACGTCACCGCGCTCGCCGCCCCGCCCACACCGCGCTGACGTCACCGCGCTCGCCGCCGCGCCCACACCGCGCCGCCCCGCCCACACCGCGCTGACGTCACCGCGCTCACTAACCCCGCCCACTAACACCCCCCCCCTCGCTCACGCATGCTGAGCGCTCGCGATGACGTCATCGCGAGCGCTCCGGCGGCGTTACCGCGGCAACGATAGAACCGCGCTTGAGTGACAACGCCGCCTTGTCACCGGCGTGACGTCACCACGCAACAGGGGGTGTTGGAAGTGATTGCAAAGTTCGTAGCTTCGCGTCGACTATGTTGTGTTGACAATTTCGCCCCGCGAATACGCTGTGCGCCGCTTCGTCTTGGTCACACGGCTTTTTTTTTTTAACGGCTAATTTGTCAAAAACGAAGGCGTGTTCTGACGTCACAGCGCGCGTCGGTTTCGCAATCGCGTTGAACCGACATTGCGATTTAGAGCGCGCGCCCGTCGGCCTTTAAGCGCACGAGCGGCGTATTTACGCAGAGTCTCGCGGGGAGAATAAATAAACAAAATTAAGTTAGACCGATAAAATCCTAACGCCATTGAAATGAGCGGACAAGCTACTTAATGACGTCACGACGAGACACGCCCACGTCACGCGCGCGGAGAACCTCACGCGTCGCAGTGCCAATCGCGTCCCGATTGGTCAAACGCGTCCTGATTGGTCAATCGCGTCCCGATTGGTCAAGCGCGTCCACGCCCCCTCGCGCACGCCCCGCCCTCCATTAGCTTCGGGGAAGAAACCGGAAGAGGAAGTGTCATCTCAGCTGTCACTGCCGCCACCGAAGCCGAATCCTTTGTGGCAGCGCAGACTCGGGCGGCCGCGGATAGACGCCGACAGACGCCGCGATGGGCGTCAACGTGAACGTGGAGTACTGGTGAGGCGCTGCTTGCCGTGGTCGTTAGGCGGAGGTATTTAACCGTAGGCCATGGGGATGGGGAAATGTCCGCCACTGCTCCTCCGGGGCGGGCAACCCGAGGCGAGCGCCTCCGCCATTGTGAGGGCGCTCGGCGTTTGATTGTCGCGTGCCTCACGGTGTGAGCGCGGCCTGTTGTCGTCGTGTGAGTCATGCAACGCAGCCCTTGAGTCACTTCCGTCGGTTTATTCACATTGGAGGTTAAAATAACCAGGGCGCCGGTGAATCTGACGTGGTTGAGGTTTACGGCACTCATTCGTTTGTCTCCACAATATTTGCAAAACACGTCTTTGATTGTGGCTGATTAACTTCGTATGATTTGTATTGTGTTATGCAATAAAGGTGTCTGCAAATATGTGCCCAAGGTAAATGATAAGCGAAATTGGATAACATTGTAAGAAGCAGAGTATACCCAGGACAGTAATTTAAGGCGGACCAGTATCAATGGTGGAATGCAGACGAAATCAGGTTGGACTGCTTCACAAAAAAACTACACCTAACGAAAGGCAAAATACAAACGCGCCTACAGAAGGTTTGGAATTGTCGAATATCACCTGCTTCTTACAAATGTATTGGAAACATGGACAACGAAAAAGGAACAAATGTCAAAGGTGCGTAAAGAATTTTGGGCAGATAAAAACATGTGTAGGTGTAGAGAGGAGGAAAGTTTTGGGTCTCAAGTTGACAAGGGATTGAGGATTAGCAGCATTCACCAGTCATGCAGGGTGACTGAACGTCTTTCACACCATACATAACCAACCGCGCTAATCGGAGGTGCTGGTGAACACCACATGGCATGGTTACATCGAAACACCGCCTCAAGTGACATCTCTTCAGATAGTCATTCGCTAAACTAGATATTTACATATTCTTTGGGTCTTTCAGTAAAGTCACGTAGATAGGTTAAAAGAAAATAACAAAAAATAACAGCAGCTGTCCCCCTTTTCTCCCCCTTCATGATGACGAACGCTTGTTGCGATCGAAACGTCGTAGTTATTTTTTATTTTCTTTGAACCTATCTACGCGACTTTACCGAAAGACCCAAAGAATATTAATTACTGCAGTCGCTAAAGCTTTAAGTCAAGATTTAGATATTTACAATAACTCAACGATTCGTCATTCCTTATTCGGTTATATAAGAACCTGAAAAAGGCTCTTACATCACTGTCAAGTAAAATCAGTGATTTTAAGGATTGTCGGTGATATTCAACTCTTGTGCAAGATCCCTGACAGTGAGGAACACCGCATATTATTGTTAAACATTCAACTCTACGTACGGTGCAAAATAAGTTCAACATACATACAACTCTAGGAAAAAAAAGGCACTGAAGTGTTTAATGCAATTACAGTGACGGAAGAACACCACACCATGCAGAGAATGTCAAGTGTCTGCTAACAGCTTTAAATTGTATTCGTTATCAACTGAGATAAAGTACTTTCCGCCTGTGCTTTCGCAATCTTGACAGCAATGTTGCTTACGGAATTGTCATTGAAGCCGGCATCTGGTCTCTGTTGCTGTGCGTGCGTGTGCAGTGGTGGCTGAGGGTACGAGCCCCGCTACCAGGAGCTGGCTGCCAACATCTTAAAGCAGGCTCCTGGGGCGGAGGTGATTGGCCAAGTGGGCCGGTCAGGTACGTGAGTGTGTTAGTCTGTGCAAGTCACGGTAAAATAAAACATTACTGCATGGTCGAGCGTTGGGTATCTAGGCTCCTTAATAATGGCAGGTCACTGTCTTATTTGGGCACATGTGTGCACCACGCATATTGTGAGTCTAGCGAATATTATACCGACATTCTTATTCAGCATTCATTATAATCTCATCACGAAGTAGAATCAGACACGAGATGCATTGGCACAAATTCAAACCGCGCAGGGGATTTAATCCTGTAGACGCCACTCACCTGCACCAAGAGCTCGAGGTGCCAGCCTCCAGGGAGCCCTCCAGTCACCACTCTCACTACTTTGCCACGACCAGTGGATTTATCCTCCTCCAATGCCCCCTCCTCTCGCGTGCGACTTATGTCCCTAACCCCGATCCAACGGATCCATTGGCTGCGTGTATGGCATGGGTAGGCGAGAGGCTCATGCGCGTGGCTTGTGGGCCAAGGTGTGTACGTGCCTATTTGGGAACACAGTTCAGCTCCCTCCCTCGTGAAGTCAAGGGAGCCACGCCCATCCATCGCCAACCACACACACACAACTCAGAAGGCATTTTCTATCGTGTCACGATACCAAACACGTAGGCTTTCGCGACCAATATCATCCATGAGGTTTTTTTGGGTTAGATGGCATAAATGTGTCGTTGAAACCCGCCACCACCCGACAGCCAACTTATAAGGGTTGTCACGTAAACAGAACGTGCCAATTCGCCACTAGTAAAGCACACTGGTTTGTTGGAGAGCCAAGCCACATTTACAATCTTGAGTTGGACGTTTCACCAGTCATTACAACTAGCTTCATCAGGCGACAGCCAGATTTGTGGAGAAGTGTTTCGTTCCTATATAAGGAACGAAACGGTTCCTTATATAGGAACTAAATAGTGGATAATTGTTTCTGATTGTGCTATTTCATAGCTTTTGTTTAAATGCTTTGGATTATTGGTACCTCTACCAGTTGCGAGAAGCCTTTTCACCGTTGTCTGTGTCCTCCTGCAGGTAGTTTTGAAGTGACCGTCAATGGCGAGCTCATCTTCTCCAAGCTGGAATGTGGTGGCTTTCCCTTCGCCGAGGACGTAATTACCTGCTCTTATGCACCCCTCTCCATTCCAAGCGTTCTGCTCAGCCTTGCCCCCACCCACCGATCTATTCCTTCTCAGCCCGAGTGTCCCACGTACAATGAGTTGAGAACGTATAACAAGGTGTGCCACCTTGCCAGAGCTGGCTTGAGGCAAAGAATAGTGCTTCAGTGGCGATTGGCCGCCTTTTATAAAGTTTTTTGCGCAGTAACCAGTGTGGAAGCAGCTCTAGTGACACCTGCAGACATTCAGCACTTAATTTATAACTCTGCTTTCCCCATCTTCAACCCGAGGAAGTTGCTAAATTTGTGTGCCTGCTGAACCCCGCCTTGTACCTTTTCCTATGGCTGCTCACACCTTGCTGTGTTTATCCCTGCTTCATCAGATCATCGCAGAGGTGAAGAAGGCGCAGGGGGGCGAGAAGGTGGTGAAGGTGACGAAGAGCCAGGCCCCATGCGTCATCCTCTGACCACGATGTTTGTCAGCCTTCAGCTGTACTTGATTTAAACACTCTGCGTTCTGGCCAATGAAGGTTTAAACTGGAAATTAAGTCACTAGTTTAAGCTGGAAGTCTTCCAGACGTGGTGTTTTTGGAACTTGTCAGCAGCTATTGTGAGACAAAATCGTGCTTTAATAAATAATGCATGATGAAAATTAAGGAGCTATTTAATATTTAAAGCTTAACCAGGGGATATAAGGATTTTTGTAAATCGGTGCCAGATATGTATTTGCTGTTTGTTAACGGTTGCATTCACAACACTGAGTGCCTCACTTTTTGGTTCAAATGAATTGGTAATAAACCACTGCTCGTGACCAGACCTGTTTGCTCACATTCTCTCCCCTCCAACTGGGGGTCACCGTCATTGCTGCGCGAAGTGCAGGCAATGCCCTGTGTCACATATTACACAGTTTTTATTGTGGGACATTGAAGGAAACAGGAATACTGCGAATTACATTTGGCAGTAGATGTCAGTGGCTTGTCTGCCAAGTATTGTGCATAATTATAGAATGTTAAAGCACATTGTATAACTTATTCGGCACTGTTCAAGGTTGAGATTGATGCAGATATGAAAACCAAGTTGAGATGAAAAGGGGTATGTGGCTGCCAAGCACTCAAGTTCCCCTTGAGATACGATATTCTAACAACCTAAACAATGATGCCTATATCATCAGGTCAATGGTTTGGGTTACACCCTGCTGTTCAGACTGGATATGAAATGGGTCCAGGTTTTGCTTTGTTTAATAAACAAATACGACTGGCATACAATTATCCGGAAGGCCCACTGACTGCAGGATTAAATGTCATTTCGATTCTGCAATGCAACAAACTCCTTACCTATTTATGGAGATTACGTAATGTTCCAAGCCTGCTCAATAAAAAGTACCAGGGGAAAATTATGAATTTATTTGAGGTGGTCTCGACAATAGTGAACTTGTGGAGGGTCAAACATTAAATATATTACCCGGAGTATTTGCATACAAATTATTCAGCACGTTCATATTTCAGAAAGATAAAGAACTTGCTCAAAAAGGTATGCTTCACTTTGTTCAGATAAACCAAATCAATATTAAGACAGTTTGTGCTAGAAATTGTTCCACACCCTTTGCCAGGCACATAAAAAAACCATGCTTGATACGTTATAAACCGCACGTTTAATTACACCAAGATTAAAAGTGCAAATTCCAAGGCACGTGGGTAATTAAGAGACCCAAGATAACAGGTGTGCGCACAGTTGCAAAACATTCAAAACTATAACCCCAGGAACACAAACCATGCGGTCTATTGTATACACGTTAGAAGCGTTCTGGGCAGGGCGTGGGCGAGTTGGCGGTTCCCTACATGTTACATCACCTACCTCTGGCGAATTGTGCGCAGCGGCCCTGAACACGGTGTCACGGCTGCTCAAGGGCCTTGGAGTAGGGCAGGTAAGTGCAACAAGGAGCCCAAAGCAGGCTGATATCCCTACCCTCCTGTGAACCCAAGTCGCGGCCGTGTGGCTTCAAGCATCACCCGTAATGTACGAATGTCGAGAACAAAGGGTGAGATGGGTGTATTTCTCTCCCTGAGCAAAGTGCTTCATTTATACTGTCGGGCTGCAATTGGCAATTACTGATCTTGGTTCCTGTTCTAGGCGTTTTTGTTAATGTCAGTTTGATAAACATCTTCAAAAGAAATAACTAAATTGCAGTCACAGATTCTGACCTTTGAGCTCCATTCTCTGCAATCCCCAAATATAATCTTGTTTGAAATCAACGAGTAAAACATCTTCCAGGATGCCAATCCAATTGGAAACATCCATACTTTCAAACTCAGTACAAGACTTAGGTATAAGCTTCCGTACTTTTGGTAACAAAAACCTCGCCACTCCCGATACCATTCACGTGAAACTGACGACTGCTGCAATCAATGTCCATCTGCAAGCGCATACATTAGGTAAGAACTTTATGAACGGTGTTCATGGGTAGGGGTCTCCAAGTGAGCACATCGAATTTAAATGGGGGAAGGTTTTAGGACGACCTAAGAGAACGCACCCGGATGTGGCTGTTCTTTGGGCTGCCTGGCTTCGTGGTAAATATGTCTCCATGGCTGAATAAATCACTGCAACATCTCACTACAGCTTCCCTGAACGACACAAACAAAGATGGTGATTTTTGACTTTAGCAAAAATATTAATGTATTTTACATTTTGTTTTGTACAGTACTATTAAAACAACAAATCAGCACGTAACTTTTCTAAGTCATTTCACAAATGAAAAGTTACAAGGGAAAAAAAAAACCCTTCAAGGTTCAAAGTGTTTTGTACCATGTTGCTCAAACCCAAGCCGACTGTCCGTCAAGCGTGGCGTGCAGACGTGACTGCATCTTCTTGTCCCGCTGTTCACTACTCCTCTGCACACCCAAGAAACGCAGCCGCCGCCCTCCTGGAAGCTTTGCCGTTGCTCAAAGATTCCCGAGCAGCGGGGAACCTTCGGTGGGCACCTTGGCTCCTGGTCGCACAGATCCCGGTGTCTCGTCTCCGGAGTCTGGAGACTGTTCCGACGCTTCCTTGCCCAGCGTGGGTACGGTGGTTCCTGCCACATTCTTGCCGCGAGACTTGGAAACGACCTAAAAATAATATGTAAAATATATATAAACAAATGGCATCATGTGAATCTGAAATTTCCATTGTAACTTAGTCTTTAAAAAAACATTGTTAAAGCGCACATTTGAAGTTTCTCTCGTCGAGATTCTATTTTTCAGCAGAAATGGATGCGCTTTGAAGTAAAATTCCTGAAAAAAGCAATCCAGCCAGAGCACATGCAAGAGACAGTGTCCTGTTGGAAAAATAAAAAGCAGAATGTTTATGGGACGAAGCGTCACGTATGGAAAGCAAGTGAAGGCAACGCAGGATGGGACCCCCCCGTCTCCCGTGCTAGTGATAAAACGACTAGTAGTGGCAGCCGCTAATAACTAAACATTGCCACGCAATATTCACAGCGAGTCTGACAAATGATGCTGATGACTAGGTAGAGATGCCAAGCTTCAGGGGAGCGTTCGCATATCACAAATCGATCGGATTAATGCGCACCTGCTAGCAAGGCTCCAGAGCTCAAGATTCCAACACCTACAGACACGCGAGAGCGGGGGATGCTGTGTTAACAATGGCAAGCAGCGACAGCAGGTGGTTATTGTAAGCGGTAGCGCGTGGCCGGACAAGTAACGGAGAGGATGCGCTTGCCGCTAACATGCACTGGGATCGACCCATGGTTACCGCGGTGTTGCTTCAGGATTTCCTTACCTGCCACAGGTACCACACGAGGCATTCGTTGCCGTCAGTAAGCGGAGTTCTAAATCGATTGTTGATCCTCGATCTGTCGCGACTCCACGATTCCGACTACGGGATCGGCACTATCCACCCATCGCCACGCTCCCCCCGTGGCCCAGTCTCCTCTCTGAGCTAACGACTCCTGTTCCCGCTAGCTCAGACTTTGATGCCGCAGCACGAGGAATTCCAGTAGGGCCCATCCTGCCCCATCCCGCCCACCCGCCGACCAGCCCATTACCGTGTATCCCGTTCCCTTCCAGAACATGCCGAGCTCCCCACGGAAGCACGCCACGAGCAGGCTGGAGAGCAGTGTGCATGGCACCAGGTAGAGCAGCGCCGGCTGGCCCATCCGCATCAGCGCCAGCGCCAGGAAGGTGAGCAGGAGCCCCACTCCATACGCTGCAACGTGGACAATATAATTATTTGTAAGCAATAATCATTCATCAACGATGGCAGAAAACATTACCCTTACTTAAAACCATGAAGAAAAATGTTAGGATGATTTGCTATGTTGCGCATCCTATTTTATCAACAACATATACAAATTAACACATGTTAACACGCACCGGTGTTTAGCCTACTTTTAACATGCGGGAGATAAGGCCAGTAAAAAGCTTCATCAAGCGAGATGATAAAAGGTGTGACGCGTGACTGGCGAAGTTTCAGCGTGCGCGCTTCACCAATGGTGCAGGCGATGAAGTAGAGCTTCGAGGACTGCACCTGCACGTCAAAGCGGTGGCAGTATGCCACCAGCAGGCCTGCGGGACAGCGCAGCCACACACGCTCGTTTGTCCACAATATTTTACGACGCAAGAACCATTTACTCACTTGGTACTGGTCACATGTGAATTCATCGAATGAAGTAGATTTCTGACTCTCCAAATACATGTTTTGAAGCATTTGTGTAAGAATCAATCAATTATGCTCTGCATATATTACATGTAAATCGGTTTATAAACTCTCCAGTATCTTGGAAACTCTACAGCCACTAAAGATGTGTACACGTAACACAAGGGTTAAATGAGAATGGATTCTTCAAACAAATCATAATTCTTAACTGTGAAATTTCATTGAATCTAAATGGGGCCATACATTATCACGCTCACAGGTGATAGTGTTTGTCCGATTGAGAGACTTGGCCTCCACTCTTAGAATGTGGAATTTCCACCACTGGCTTTCAGCACAATGGAATTCCACCCAATGTGAATAAGAGGAAGGAGATCCTTGGGCTTGAGTTGTGTTGCGTTGCACAGTATTCCTTTTAATTTTATTTTATATTTCCTTTCATCTGAAAACTTAAAAAGTGGTCAGAGATCAACTTAAGCCACAATTATCTATCGGATAAACTGGCGAATAAATCATCCCCCTCGCCATTCCAGTCATGAGGTTGTTTGACCATACTTGACCATGCTGGTCTGTACGGGTTGGTGAAGGGGCGTGGCCCAGGACAAGTTCAGATATCATGAGCCACTGATGTTGACTGTGGCCAGGAGTAGAACTGAAGTTGCTGGGTTCAAAGCACAGTGTGTGAACCACTGCGCCACCACTCAAACCATGATCCGTACGAGGTCATTGACACCACAACTTTGTGAGAAGTCAATAGTGGTCATGGGAATGTGGAATTTCCAGATCTTTTTCTGATCCACCGCCAGTGATGAATGCTTCTCATGGCTCGTTTGTAACTTGCTGACCCGCCCATACTGGATATCTATGAAAAAGAGCTTCATAGCTCATCGGATTCCTCCAGTATAATTTAAGATTCTGATTCGGAGCAGAAAGATACTTTTGACTTTTTATTCTAAGGGACGACGAATATTTTAAGAGCGATTATGAAGACATTGACGACGAAAGTGGAACCTAACCTGGCACGAGGATGTCTCCGAAGCCCAGCAGGGAAAAGGGTTGGTAACACATGGAGAGTGGAGTTGCAGCCAGGCGAGGCACCTTCACCACCATGGGCAGCTGGGGTCAGGGGTAGCAGGAAGGTTACGCGGGAAATATAGGTTT